ACTCCTCATTCTCTTACTGATTTCTTACAGTAAGGAAGCATGAAAAACCCTGAAGACCAAGTGCAGAGCTAAAAGGGCCAGAGGAGGAGGATGTTTCTGAAGCAAGGGCAGGGTAAAGACGAGAGACCATAACAAGGTCCAGGACAGGGAGAGCATCAAGCTAGGTCCAGGGTTCAGTATGGCCTGTAAGGATGTTGAACTAGACCAAGAAGTACCTCAATTTCCTTTATTCAGTTGGGGTCTGGGTGTCCATTTTATGCCTAGCCATGTGTGGCCAGTCCCATACTTTCTAATTTCTTCTGATGTTCCTTCAGTTGTTGCCCTCATTATACTTGACAGTAATAGCCAGTTCCCTACAGTATGAGGCACATAAGAGACAGTGTTGGGTAATGGATGGAGAGTTGACCCTAGAGTCAGGAAGACATGGATTCAAGTCCCATCCTCTGGCACATCCTAGCTATACGACCTTGAGTAACTCATTGCCTCTCATCACCAGCCCTGCCCATCCTGGGAGTGTAATTACCAATTTAACCCAACAAAGAATTAGAAATTTAGGGGATACCCATCAATTAGGGAACAGTCGAACAACTCATCATATATGATTGTGAAGGAATCCTATTGTGCTGTAAGAAATTATGAAGGTGATGGATTCAGAAAAACCTGGAAGGATTTATATGAAATGATGCAAAATAAGTGTGTAGAACCAGGAAAACATTATACACAGTAACAACAATATTGTAACAATGATCACCTGTGAAAGACTTAGCCACTCAAATCAAAACAATGATGCATCACAATCCCAAAGGACTCATGATGAAAAAATGTTATCTACCTCCAAAGATCAAAAATGATGAACTTTGAGTACAGATTAAGGCATATTTTTGGTCACTTTCTTTTTCTTACTTTTTTTTTGCAATATGACTAATATGGAATATGTTTTGCTTGACTTCATATGTATAATGGGTATCATGTTTTTTGACTTCTCAGTGGGTTGGGATGAAGCTGGAGGGAGGGAGAGAATCTGGAATTCAAAATACAAAAAAATATTAAAAATAAAACTAAATAAGTGGATGTATGAATGAATAAATAGATAGAAAAACAAGCAAAGTAAAGTGAGACAAACAGAAACTGTCTATTCTGGCTCAACCTGGAGTTTAGATTAGAATTAGGCCTAGGAATAGATAGGATACCATAGGAAGACTTGGGTTCAAATCCCACGTCAGATGTATTCTAGCTGTGTAATTCTGAGCAAGTCACTTAACATCTCTGGGCCTCTGTTCCTCACCTATAAAATAAAGTGGGGCCCCACTTAGTCTCTGAAGCCCCTTCAAACTCTAAATCTATGATCCTGTGATCTTAGTGTTCTTTCATAGTCTTACATAATTGGTATTAAAAGAGTCCAAGGGAGGGTCACAGGACATTGATTTAGGGCTAGAAGGAACACTGAAAGCCACTAGTCCTTCTCCCTCATTTTACAGACAAGGAAATTGAGTCCCAGTGAGGTTAAGTGACTATCTACTGAGCCACCTAGCTGCCTCATTCCCCTTAGCAGACTGTAAACTCCCTGAGGGCAGGGACTATGCCATTTTTTTTTGCTTTTGTTTTTTCCTATCAATTTTTTTTTGTTTTTCTCAGCATCTGGTAAGGTGCTTTGCAAATAATAATTTCCTAATAAAGTGCTTGTTGAATTGAATTCATTTCTTTCTGATTGAAGAGAAAAGGGAAAGGCAGATGGGTCAGTTACAAAGAATCCTGTTGACACAGCAGACATGAATACGCAGCTCTAAAAAAGTGAGGTTCCTGCCCTGGGGCCAGAAAACAAAGGTGACTGTAGCGTGGAGCAGGGTATGTGCAGAAGGGGGATGACAGCTTTATGGGGCTGAGGCAATTGCAAGAAGAGAAGACTGCAGAAAGATAGCCTCTGGACACATGCCAGATGACTGTGCTGCTGCCCCCAGCAAAGAAGCAAAACTAGAGGGACTTGGGGGTTGGGGTGGGAGGTGAACAGGGACAGGCCACCCACCCCAAACATACTGTTGCTAAGATTGGCGTGCTTCAAAAGAAGAGTGGCAATAGCTAGAAAGACAAGAGGTGAGTGAACATGGTTCTTCGTTTATAGGACTTTAGAGATCATCTAAATCCCTGTCTTTTACAGAGGAGGAGACTGAGATCCAAGGAAAGGAAGTCGAGTTCCCAAGGTCACACAGCTGGGTCCTGATTCGTCCCAATAATGAATCTCATGAAGTGGTTCCATTATTTAAATTCACTCTATTTGGAGTTATAATTATGTAAAGTAGGGTCTTTTATTCCAGCCCAATAGAAATCATGCAGTGTGGATCTGATAGTGAATTTGACCACATCCTAGGATTCGTCTGTTGCACTAATTGGGATCCAACTGTATCAGAATTAGGAATCAAAGCCATGTCCTTTAACTCCATGCCCAATGCTTAGTCCACAATAGATTCAGGGGTGACAGGGAGGACTGGGGACTTCTGGTTGCCACAGGCCTTGTGTGTCACTCTCAATGTGTCCTGCACTGCCCAGATTACCCTGCATTTTTTGTATATCTCCTGTATGTACTTATCTGTGAACATTTATCTCCTGGAAGCATGTGGACTCCTTGAGGGCAGGATTCTCATTTTGGATTTGTAGTCTCAGTGCCTAACACATATATTAGGCACTTAATAAACTCTTGTTGATTATTAGGTGCTTAGTAAGTGCGTGTTGATCATCACCTTTGAAGAGAAGGTAAGAAGGCTAGGGAGAGAACTGTCTTCCACTGGGTCACCAAACCACCAACCAGCTTTTCTACCACAGAAAAAGATTATTGAAGTAAATAATGAACCAGGGGTTTGAGAACACCAGAATTCTGATTAAGCCCCCATGGATTTTGCAGGCTTCATTCCTATCTCTGGGGAGGATACCCTTCAGATCCCTTCTCTACCTGACTTCCTTACATAGAATGGAAGCTCTTTGAGGGCAGAGATTACTTAATTTTCATCTTTGTATCTCCAGGGTTTAGCACATTACCTGGCTCATAGCAGGTGCCCAATACATGTCTGCTGATAAATCAATGGAGTCTTTCTCCTGCGGTTGATCCAGGTTTCCTCTTCTCAGTCTTGCCTGTCCTCATTCCCCATGCTAGCCTTCCTTCTTGGATAACCCTTCTACCTTGGCGCTGCCCACCTCTCTCCCCACTACTCTTTCAGCAAGACTCCTGGATTGAGTCAAGGAAATTTGTGCTACCAGTAAATCTGAGGGCTCCTTAAGAATGGAGAAGAAATTCTCACGTAGGGGGAGAGCAATCAGTCACGTTTCCAAAGAATTTAAGCTCTTGAAAATCGGGGGCAGGCTTCTAAATGTCATAAACCTTGGCCTACTATGAGTGCTTATGTTGACTGATGACCGATTTTTTATCTCTCTTTCCTAGCCCAGTGGTGTCAAACATGAATTAGTAGGCCACTAATCCATACCTAAGGATCCCTATTGGTTTCATGCTGACTTAGTTTTAAAATGTAATATCTATGTTTTATTGTATTTTTATTTATTTTGTTAAATATTTTCCAATGACATTTTATTCTCATTCAGGCTGCACTCCGTTGTGTTGTGAATCTGCTGTATTTGATACCTATCTTAGAATATATACCTACTCTCCCTCAAGCATCTTGTGAGGAGGTGGGGGAAAGAGACAGTGAAAGCCAACAAAAAAAAAAACTTGTAAGGGGATATTGGGTGATAAAGGTTGCCTCCATTAGCTCCTCTATGAAGAGGTCAGTCTCCCTGTCCATCACCAACAGCTCCCTCTGCCCCCACCCTGGGGATTCCAGCCCCATGTCCAGCCTGAGCCTAGCAACTTAACTATAATAACCTTGGGGATTAACATAGCAGGCATTGTCTTTCCCTGACTATAGGGCTGGTATTATGTGTTCAAAAACTCTCTCCTAAAAATATCCAAAGAACAGGTGCAGTCCATGAGGTTCAGGCCGTGTCAGAGTCCCATCTGTGGTCCATCTAGAAACAAAGAGGTGAGGGAGACCCTCATATGTAGCTTGTTCTGAATTCAGTGAACTAGGTTCCTGGAAACCCATCTTTCTAAGATTTCACAGCATCTTTAGACTTTTAGACCCATCAGACAAGGAAAGCAGGATTTACCCATTTTACACCCACCCCTATTGGTCATACTGGCCTCCTATTGCCAGTGAATATAGTAAGTGCTTAAATGCTTGTTGACTGACAGCGTGGTTCCCTATCCCCAGCTCCAACCCTCTTTGCTGCTCCAGTCATTATCCCCATAAAACTCAACCATCTCCCCCATCCCAGGTACACTCAGGGCTCTCTTGTAAACAACAGACTCAGGGAAATTTACTAAGGAGAGGCAGAACTGCCCATATGTCTTGGAGGATTTCAGCCCGATTCCTTTTAGGCCTTCTGCCTGACTTCATTTAGTCCCTGATCTCATGGGCTTTGGGAGCTTATTTTCGTGTCTGCTCTTAAGGACGAAGAGCTGAGAAATAAATCCATAGCTTAGCAGCAATGCACTGCTTCCCACTGAAAACCTGTCCTCTGCCTTACAGTGCATGCACACAGACACTCATAAGCACCATCTCCTATTCCCCACATCTCCAGATCTTTTAATGTTTTCCACACTCATCTCACTGTCCACATGTACAGATCCTGCCCAGCCTCTCACTTCTCCCTGTCCTCCTCCTTGGCCTTCAACCTTCTTCTTCTGCTCAAGGGTGGTCTTGCATTAGTCTATGGACTGTGTCCACAAAATATTTGTGTGTGTATGTGTGTGTGTGTGTGTGTGTGTGTGTGTGTGTGTGTGTGTGTGTGAGTGATTGTAACTGCAGGTACTGCAGTTATGTGTGCATGGGCAGCATGAAGAGTGTTTGCCCAGACTCGTGTGTATCTATAGTGTGTGCCTATAGTGTAGGGGGTGGAGAGAAGGTGGGGGTGCTCCGAAGGGTAACAGAGCTTGTTCTATTTTTACTGGCCAGTTGCTGTGGACCGTAGATTTCATAGCCTCCACCAATCTTCAGTCCCTTGCAGTCTGTGGTCCTCCAGCAGCCCCAGACCATCTCAACTCTGCTAGGACCATTGTAGGTAAGTGTCTGAAGCCTGGCTCCTGATCTTGGGAAAGCAAATCCTAAACCAGCTGGGGTTTGAGTCTAGGTAAGAGAAGAACAAGGGATGAAGGTTACGATTAGATCCCAGAAAGGCTAGGAAGGAAAAAGTGAGTATTTTGTGCCCATCCATTTAGGGTTTGGCAGTCTAACATACTACCTGAGAAAATTCCCAGAAAGTTTCTCCTGGACAAAGGGATATCATTTTCTCTAAAGCAATTGTCAGAGGAGAAAGTTGCATCTCCCAAACAGAGTTGGTTGAGTCTTTTTTTTTTTTTCAGGCTGGGTTACCTCCACCTGGGCTGGAAAGATATGTATTTCATTGCTTGCAGACTAATCCAAAGCATATGTTGATTACAAAAGAATCAAAAATGGAGAAGGAAGATAGGGAAATTTGTGGAGAATGGAATTTGAGAGGGTTGGGAATTGGGATGGGAGGAGGAACTGAGAAATCCCAAAGACATCTCTAGGAAATTTTTCTTGCTCCTTTTTTTCTGTGTCCTGGAGGGAAGACAAGGGCATATCTTTATCATCTGTGCACCTGGGGAAAGGAGTTGATAGGACGAGCTAGGGACTGAGAGCCACCCCAAAATGGCATGGAATTCACACTTTTCTGCTCCCTACCAAATTCCCCATTGTTGGCACTAAGAGATGAATAGCAGTGGCTAAAGGGGCAGGGACGGAGCTGGATGGAGAGCAGTGTGAGCATTGCTCAATGTTGCTGAGAGTTGGGGTGCATGAATCAAGGCATCCAAGGCACTGTGAGTGTGAGCTTCTCTGCAGGTGGGTGAAGGTGTCCAGGGCCTTTAGGAACAATGGAGGCTGGCTTTTTAAACTGGAATGACAAATGGAGATGGAATGTGACATCCAGGCAGTTCAACTCCAGAGAGGGAAAAAGATAAGCAGTTCTTATTGACAGCTATAGAAGAGAAGTGACCCAGAACCCGGAGCTATAAGCACAGGAATACTGTCCTAATTCCATCAGGGAGGAGAAGAATGCCTTGAACTGGGGATGCAGTATCCGGGGGCTGCATGGTTTGGGGAGGTGGAGTAAGAGGAGAGAGGACAGAAGTAGAAATAAAATTAAGATACGATTTAATGTCCCTGTTTGTTAAAACTCAGGAGAAGTATATTTTCTTGGACACACACACACACACACACACACACACACACACACACACACACACTCCTCTGCCTAATTTTTAACCCAATGTTCCATTTTAAAAACTCTTTCTCCAACCCCCTGGTTTTTGTGAAGTGGAGACCCTGACTTTTCGTTTTTGTAGCTCTTTCTCTCCAATCAGGTATGCATTTCCTGAGGTTGGGAATATGGGATCCTGGACACAGTAAAGCCTCAATGCTACCCTCCCCAACCCTCTTTATTTCAAGTATCAACCCTCACTCATTTTCAAAAGGCAGGACCACATAGTCACATCAAGTCCAAACCTGTCGACAAATGAGAGGCCCTTTCTGCAGAGTGGGGGTGCCTGGGCCCAGATTTCCTTTGTAGGACATTATCAGTGGCTTCTTTGAGGGCAGGGGCCCCAAGAGCTCAATAGTAAAGAATAGAGACACATCCAGAATGGGTGAGGGGGAGTTCAACTCTGGTTCATATTGGTAACAGATGTGGGCAGCAGCCAGGAAGGTCCCTAGAGATGGTAGTATAGGTAACCATTTGGTGGTCTGTATTCACACGTGGGCATTAGCATGTGCCTACTGAAGTGTTGGCCCATTTCAGGAAAGTAGATATAAAAAACTGTCCATCTGAGAACTGACTTCTGGAGACTGAGATTAGGAGAGCTTGACAAACATCGATAAGCTGCTCCGGGGAGTGGATCTTGTGGGAGCCTACCAGCTCCTATTTCTCTCTGGACTTGCCCAGAATCTTGGGATGATGATAGCACATTAAGTAGCCGGCCATAAAAGGTCTAATTTCAGCCAAGCATTTCAGGAATTTATAAGCTGTCTCCCGGGTCCTGGGGCTGGCTCTGCCTCTCTCTCCCCCTGAGTAACGGGAAGACAGCTGGGACTGTGGGGTCAGAGCCTTAGCCTTCCACTAGGTTTGGTAGCAGGGGCAAAGGTGAAGAGTTAAAGGTCTTTCTGAGAGAGTTACTGAGGTCAGGCAGATTGAAGACTAAAACCTCCTCCTCTTGGGGGATCAGAGGTAAATAAATGCCTCACGAAGGACAGAAGGAGGGCAGGAAAGAGGTGTAGGGAGAGAGGATGGGGGAATAAGGAATCTAGAATGAGTTAAAAAATATCACACTGCTCTCTTCAGAAATGGCTTCCTGGAGCAAGTCCTAATTCTTAATCTTGAGTTTCAAGGACTCTCCTTCAGAATGTTTGGTACCTCAGGCAGGTCACAGGATGCTAGAGCTGCAGGAGATCTCAGAGATCAACAGCTCACACTCCTCATTTTGCAGATGGGAAACGGGCTCTTCCTCAAGGTCAGAGTCATGATTCAAACCCAGACCCTCTGATTCCAAGTCCAGGGCTCTTTCCCTTACTTGAGACCTCATTTTATCAAGGCATAACTCAGATTTCCCTTTTTTTTTCTTCTTTATTGGTGAGGCAATCGGGGTTAAGTGACTTGCCCAGGGTCACACAGCTAGTACGTGTCAAGTGTTTGGTCTGAGGCCGGGTTTGAACTCAGGTCCTCCTGACTCCAAGGTCGGAGCTCTATCCACTGTGCCACCTAGCTGCCCCTAGATTTCCCATTCTAACTAGGCACCCCCATTTCCCCACAGCCCCACATCCCATACTTACATTATCTTCTCCCACCTCTGAGCCTTCACAGAATCCTAGCACTTTTAGAAGCAGGAGAGATCTGAGACATCTCTTAGGCCAAACATACCACCTTACTTTATAGATGAGAAAGCTGAGGATCTGAAAGGTGAAGTCCAAGGTCAAAGAATGGCCCCGGCTGCCCTTCTAAAATGAAGCTCAATGCTCTTTATTTTACACACTTCCTCCCTTGCACAGGCCATTTCCCATCTCCCAACAAATGCACTCCCTTCAGGCTCCAGACAACATGGTCAAGGTGTCACTGCCCTCCATGACCACGCATGGCCTCTGTCACCCAGAGCTTGCTTTTACCATGATTTCCCTATATTCCCCCTGTTCATCTCACCCCAAGGCCCATGGCATCATTGAGATGGCCTGAGAAGCCTGGGCTAACGTGTCAATAAAAGAGGACTAGGGCTCCCCTCTCCTCTGTTTCCAGGGAACATGTGCTTGAAAACTGTGCCCTTCTGGCAACTTTACACCCATCTCTGTTATTGGACTTATTAGTGAATCCGGGAGTGAAAATTTCAGAAGAGGTAGGAATGGACCAGTAGCTTCCTGAAATTCCTCCTATCATGCTGTTTGACTAGTTACTCACTCTACCCAGAAATGGAGTCGTCCTTTCTTCTTGCCAATCACAGCTAAAACTTTCCTCCTCTGGGACATCTTCTCAGAGTCTCACTATTTGGTTCAGGCCACTGAATTCAGTTGAGAATCTGCTTGTACCCTTTCACTCAGTTCTCATCAGCTGTGTCCTAATTCCTCCGTCCCTGCTGTTTCCCTCTTGTTCTTGAGCTGAAGAGGCTAACTCTGTGTAGGTGCCCAACTAGGCCACTGGGATGGAGTGAGCTGGGGGTGGAGGGTGGAGGTGAATAGTGGACATACCACTGATGCTAAAGCTTAAGGGCCTGGGTTCAAATCCTACCTCTGACATTTACTCATGTGACCTTGGTCAAGTTATTTCTTCTCTGGGCCTCAGTTTTCTCATCCGTAAAATGAGAGGGTTGGGCTAGTTGACCTCTGAGGTCCTCACAACCCCCAAAGCTCCAGATCTATGATTCTGCCTTGCTAATGAGCCTATGTCTGTGTTGGTTATAGGTGCTACTCTCCTTGCCACCATGCCTGAACCGTAAGTAATTCTGATCTCCCCAGAGAAAGTGTGTATGAGGTGTGTGTGTGTGTGTGTGTGTGTGTGTGTGTGTGTGTGTGTTGTATGTGTGTGTGTGTGTGTGTTGTGTGTGTGTGTGTGTGTGTGTGTGCACGCGCATGTGTGTATGTATGAGGGGTGTATGGGTTAAGGGGGTGGAGTCTTGGATGAAGGTGTAGCCCAGGCTATCTGTCATTTAAGACAAGTAGCTTTCTTGGGAGGGGCTCCAAGTACTTTATGAAAACCAAACCCTTTAATCCAAGACTGCTCCAAATTCCTCAGTGCAGCTGCCATTAGAAACCATCTTCCCTGAGTAATGAGCCCTGAAATTTGCAAAGGACTTTTGTCATCTTCAGAGCATAAGTCAAATCAACAAATACTTACAATGCGCCTACTATGTGCCAGGCACTATGCTGAGCTCTGAGAGTACAAAGGAAAGCAAGAACAACAACAAAAAATAGTCCCTGATCTCGTTTTCCACACTGGTCTCCATGTGACCGCAGTTGATCCTCACAACTCTATGTGGCAGGAAGATTAGTTATTACTGTTTCCATTTAACAGCTGAAGAACTGATTGAGGAAGTCAAGTCTTATCAAAGGTCTCATAACCTTATATTATGACTTATCTAAAGTCATATAAATGGCTAGAAGAAAAGAAGGCAGTCAATTGATAAACTTATTAAGGTCCTGCTATGTGCCAGCCATTGTGCTAAGCTCTGGAGAGGCAAAGAAAGGCAAAAGACAGTCCCTGCCCTCAAGGAGCTTGTAATTTGATCTAGGAGACAACATGAAAACAACTATGTACAAATAAGCTATGTACAAGATAAATAAGACATAATCAAGAGAGGGAAGCCACTAGAATTAAGAGGAATTATGAAAGACTTCCTCTAGAAGGTAGGGTTTTGTCTGGGACTTGAAGGAGGCCTTGAAGGAGCTTGAGGCAGAGATGAGGAGAGAGAGCATTCCATACCTGGGGGACAGAGCCAAGAAGTGGAGGGTCTTTTTTGAGGAATAGCAAGGAGGTTGGCGTCACTGAATCAAAGAGAAGGGTGGGGTGCCAGGTGAGGGGTTGGAGGTTACTGGAAAGATGGGGAATGGGGGCAGGTTATGAAGGGCTTAGAATACCAAATGGAGGATTTTATATTTGATCTTGGTGCTAATAGGGAGCCACTGGAATTTGAGTGGAGGGGTAAGTGGGCAGTGATATGGTCAGACTTGCAACATTAAAAAGAGCCTAGAACCCTCTTTATTTCCAAATTAATGTTCTTTCCATTACCTTACCAGGTCATGTAAGAACTTTAAACTAAGTTGGATTCTTTAGTTGGAATTACCTGGCCCATCTCTTTGCATTAATTAAATAAACTGAGTGGATTTCAGTCCCCATACTTTATTTTTCACTGAGGGGACATGGCATTAGTAACTGATGGAGCTGGATGTAATAACTCATATTTATGTCACATTTTAAGGCTTATAGAATGCCTTTTTCCATAATGATCTTATGATATGGGAAATACAAGTATACCCATTTCATGTATGAGAAGACAGGCCTCAGAAAAGTTAGGAGACTTGCTCAAGATCACACAGCTGTTAAATGGGGCAACCAGGATTTGAACCTAGGTCTTTATGACTCAATGTTCCTCCTCCTGCAGCATGCTAGAATCTGAGCCATGAGCATAGTGCTTTGTACATAATAGACAGTAAGTAAATGTTTGTCGAATTGCCAGGAATGAAGAATGTCAGAGTTGGCAAGAACCTTGCAGACAGACCATATCTTCTAGCCTGTATCCAAACCAAAAAAAAGCCTTCTAAAATACGCTCAATAAGTAGTCATCCAACCTTTGCTTGGAGACCTCCAATAGAAAGAGGGAAGAGGGAACCTCTGAGGTGCCCTGCTTCATTTGTAGACAGCCATGACTCAGATTCCATCAAGCACAAGTTTGCTTATTTGTAATTTCTGTGCATTGCTAATAGTTTTGGCCTCTGAGGCTGAGTAGGACAAATCTATTCACTGTTTCACTTGACATTCCTTCAAAATACTTGAAGACAGCTACCATGTCCCCTCCAAGTTTTCTCTTTAGCTCAGGGGAAATATACTCAATTCCTTGAAATGATCTTTATCTTGCATAAACTAAAGACAGTTCCCCAACCTGGTTGCCCTCTCCTGGATCCTCTCGAGTTTCTTGACTTCTTTCCCAAAATGTGACTCTCAGAACTGAAAACAGTACGCCAGAAATGACTTGACCAAGGTCTTGCATCAAGGATGAGAAAAATCTCCTACAAGGAATGAGGCATTTTACACTGAGAAGCCCAAGGACTGAGAGTGATGGTTTATGGAAGGAAGTATCAGTTTTTATTACATTTTAATTTGCTTCCTACCATCTTCCCTTCCTCCCCTATCCTCCAGTGCCCCCACTGCCAGATTTCTTTTAGGTCAGCCATTATTTCTCTCAGGTGGTTTTCCGCAGTGAGTCTGCACACATTTGTTACAGTATATATTTATGCTTTGTATTCACTCTGTGTTTTGATCTTTTCTCTCTTTGCCTTTCCTGGGATGGATGCTTGAAGGGAGGTAAGATATCTGGGGTGCCCCAGTTGAATCTCCAGCCTGGTGAAGATGGGGTGGGCATTTGAGGGAAAGTGAAGAACTTTTGGAGTTCTGGCCATTCTCCAGTTCCTCAGACTCAGGCAACACCATCCCTTCTTCCCCTAACTTAGCTTAACAGAAAACAAATGAGTTGAAATAAAACTTTGCTCAATAATTCAGGGAAGAAATAAACTGAGAAAATAAGAGGTTCACAGCTTAGGCAAATCTTTTTGAAGCAATAAAATGGTTAACGCAAAGAAACGGCTTTCAATCTAGTTCCCCTCTGCTCTTTCCAAGTTTTCACATGTGGTATCACAATCTGAAATTATACATTCTTGGAGAATTCACTGGGGATAATTTAGCCATGGCTATTTTTAATAGTAACAAGTAACTTACCTGGCAAACTCACCTGTCTGGAGTATATGTGAGAGCCAAGAAGTGAGCAAAATGGGCTTCTGAGTTGCCAAAATAGATCACAAAATTGAAAATTGGAAGAGGCCATCTAGAGCCCACCCCTTTTCACAGATGAGGAAACTGAGTCCCAGAGTAGGAAAGTGACTTACTCAAGGTCAAACTGTAACTAGCAAAGCCAGGATTCAAACTCATTTCTTCTGACATCGAATCCAGGCAGGGATCTTTCTACAACATCCCCATTTTTCTTTATGTCACCAAGTCCATACATTAAAGCTTATTTATTTTACTCAAAGGAGAGCCCCTCACTTAGAGTGTATTTACTTTTAGTTTAGATAGAATTCTAACATGTTTCTTTATCTGGTTTCCTGCTCAACAGCAAATTAGAAGTTTCAATAAGAGTAATAGAGCAGGGTTATGCTGATAATAGCAAGACGTGACAACAGGCATACTCACATGGAGGGAGGAGACAGGAAAATTATAAAAAGCAGGAAATAAAATTCAAAAAAACACAGAAGCCCAGGACTGTTTACTATAGGCTCAAATAGTCCCACCCACCTCAGTGGTCCCCAAGGGTATCTGGTCTTAGGATAGCCATTGATATTAATAAAGATAGGAAAATGAAAAGTGTGTTTAAAAGTTCTGTTTAAGAAACAAAGAGAGTAGGTCTTTTGTTTTAGATTTTAATCCCAAATGGTTAAAATAAAATTAAATTTGTGTCATTTAAAAGGACAATTTCAGTTACATGGAAAAATAATTTGTGGGGCTCACTTCATTCCTAAACTGTACTAGACAAGTGATGTGTGACTGTTATTATTCATTCATCATTTATTCATCATTATAATAACTTGTATCACCATCACTCTGTATGCATTTCAAGGCCATTTCATACTTAATATTTTGTTTCGTCTTTACAACAACCCTGTGAGATAGGTGAGAAAGATATTATTATTTTCATGTTATAAATGCGGACACTGAGGCCCAGGAAGATAAGCGGCAGTGGTTTGCTGACAGTCATATAGGTAAATTGACAATACAATCTGGACTAGAACCCAGGTCTCTTCTAACTGTCTTCTAACTGAAGTTCATTGATCATAATCTCTTTTCCTGAATTTACGGTTCTCAAATCAAACCAACAAAGGAGTTTTTAAGGAAAGATCCTGGGTACTGATAGGCAAATTCCCCTCCAACTCTCCTCTTGCTTCAGAATTCCAAGCCTCCTATATTTATCTCATCTGCCTCTCCCATTTTTTTCCTTTTCCCTCTCAGAGAAAATCCAAGATCACTGCTTCCCGCAAACTCCTGCTTAAGGTGGGTCTGAACCTGAAGCTTCCCTGGGTACTTCCAAATAAGAAGAAGTGAGGATGGAGTTCAGTTCTTGAGGATGAATAGAAGGCATATGACTTACTTAGCACCATTATTCTGGGCTACGAGAGCCCTTATTCCTTCCGGTCCCCATATCCTGCCATTGTGCAGTTTCTCCGCTAGTCTGAGATAGTCATTTCCAAGCCCAGAAGCCTAATCAGACAATCAGTCAATTAGTCCATCAGCTAACAGCACTAACTGATATCCTCATGTGTACAGAATCCAGAGGAAGGAGATGTATGGTCTTTACCTCTAATGAGCTCCCAATCTGATGGGGAAGAAGCAGTACCTACCTTTGGTGAGCTTCCAGCCTGATGGAGGAAAAATAGTCCCTGCCCTGAATCTTCCAAGATGGGGGAGAAGTAGTTCCTGCCTTCAGGGAACTTCCCATCTTACAGGGGAGACAGAATCCCTGCTCATAAGGATCTTCCAGTTTGATGGGGGGAAAGTAGTCCTTCCCCCTAAAGATCCCTTAGTTTAAAAGGAACAGAATAGCATTCTTCCCTCAAGAAGGTCTCTGTCTGATAGAGGAGACTCAGTCCCTCTGCTGAGGGGATGCCCTAGAAGCCCAGGAGGCCAGGACCAGTAGAGAAGGTGAACGTGTCTGGCTAAAGTCTGTATGCCCTGCCACAGGGTGCCAAGGATGGATAGTAGGCGGGCTCACTCAGAACCTATTGTCTCTCTCCGTCATAATGCGCAGGTGCACAAAGGGTGGGCAAACAATTCATCATAGGTGCCTGAGAGGTGTTTTGATTAGTCTCTGGGATGGAGGAGGCCTCGATGATGGTGAGAAGCAGGATGTACATTACTCCAGAGCTCTGTGAGTCTGGAAGAGGCAGTTAAAAGTAGGGAAGGAGGTGGTTTCATGGAAAGTGACTTAGGCATATAGATCACCCTTGCTTGTGGCCTGCTCAATCTGTCTGTGTGTGTGCACAAGTACCATGGAAGGACCTCTCACTCATAACAGCCCCTGAAATTAATTACATCCATTCTGTCTTGAGTATGGAAATGCAGGGAGCCCGTATGACATGATCAGATATACATACACAGTACTAGCTCTGTCTAAGTGGCCTGGTGCAGCATGTTAGGTGCCCTTTCCACTCAGATACCAGCAGGTCTTATGGTTACAGCCAGCTCTGGGAAGAGACCAAGGCCCCAGGACCTGGGCTTCCCTTGACATCCCTGTACCCCTCTAGAGCTTGATGCTGGCCAAAGCCAAGGAGTTCTGGGAGCAAGAGCATGAGGAGAAGGAAGCTGAGAAGGCCAGGTACCTGGCTGAAAGGATTCCTACACTCGAGACCCGAGGCCTGTCACTTAGCGCCCTGCAGGTGAGCTTAAGGAGAAGAGGATGGAGATATTTGTCAATAATAAACATTTATTAAGCCTTTATTGTGTGCAGAGCTCTGTGCTAGGCATCTGGAAAGAGGCAGAGTTTAGATAAGACCTTACCCCAATGGAGCTTAAAGTGGCTGGCAGAGAAGACTCCAATCTGTATAATTAGGATATATAATATGACATGGTGAGATCATTGGAGGGGGGGACACAGCAAAGCATGAGAAGAGATCTGAGGAGAAAAATATTGCCAACAGCAGGGCATGGAAGAGGTGACATTTTGCTGCAGGTGAGCATCAAAGGATGGATAGAAATTTAACAGGTGAAAAATCAGAATGAGGGCATTCGAGGCATAGGAATGAAGGCAGGAGAGGGCAATGTCATGTAATTTGTGGTCAGTGGGTAAGAATTGTGTGGAGGGCAAATGGGCGAGGGGAACACAATTTTATTGTTCAGAAGATGGTCCATTTGGAACCCACCTTGCACTGTTGTGATTTCATACTAGGTACCAGGAAAGTCCCTTCTGTCCCCTAAAAAACTTCTGACCTAGCCTCCCTGAAATTCCACTGATAAAAATTCAACCCTTTGACTTAAGACTCAGGGCCTTGTTAAGATCCAAATGCCCAGGGGAAGGAGCAGACTTTAAGCCTCATTAGCCATGTGTACCTTAGTGTGAATAAATCTGTTAACTTCTTTCTGGAACACATAATTTGATGGGCCGGAAGGAAGGGAAGGAGGGAGGGAAAGCAAAAGGGGATAAGACAAAAGGCCTAGGTGTGAATTTTGCCTCTCAGGGCCTGTTGGCTCATTTCATTATTTCTCTCAATCTTTATTTCTCCCAGGACCTGTGCAGGGAGCTACATGCTAAGGTAGAGGTCGTGGATGAGGAGAGGTATGACATTGAAGCCAAATGCAACCATAACACCCGGGAGGTAAGGATTTCCTTAGACCGAGGAGAGTTCTGGGCTGAAAGCTTGGAAGAAAGCTGCAACACTGTGAATACATCCTAATGATTTAGAAAACTTTAAGGTTTAAAAACTGCTTTCTTTGTAAGAATCCTTGGGAGTGAGGTAGCACGTACAGTAAAAATTTTTTTCTTTTGGATTCATTTTATGCATTAGGACACTGAAGTTCAGAGAGGTGATTCATGGCCCACACACTCAGCACCTGGTAGAGCTAGAACTTGATTCTCGTTCCCTTCCCCTGGTCTAGAGCATCACCATCAACGGCCAAATGCCTCAGTTGCCTAGCGTCCCATTCAGAAATGAGGGATTTCTGGGTTTGCCTTTTGAATAGGAGAGCACCTTTGCAGCATCGGTCTTAGGGTAAGAAGACTCAGTTTTGAAGTGCAGGCCTAATTCCTATCTTTGCAGCCACGGACAGATCTTGCTCTGAGTAGTTCTTAGGAGATAATTTGAAGCAGGAAACAAGGGCTGCATCTGAATGGAACTAGGGGGAAAAAACCAAGTCCACAACGCTCCGCCTTAGAGAGGATGTGCTATTGGGAGTCTGTGTGCAACTTACGTGGTGGTTAAGCTTACATGACCTGCGATATCTTTTCGAATTCTGACTGTAGGAATCTATCGACTCCACTGACCTGTGGAGCAGTCCTTTCGACCCTACTCCCAAAGCTCTGGGGTCCACTCGATGGGTAGGAGAGCCCTTCTGAGGGTTCCCCCCCTTAACGGGCTGCTCTCTCCATCCTTCCTGCCAGATCAAGGACTTGAAGCTCAAAGTGCTTGATCTTCGAGGAAAATTCAAACGCCCACCCCTGCGACGGGTCCGCGTGTCCGCAGATGCCATGCTCCGGGCACTGCTGGGCTCAAAGCACAAAGTGTCCATGGACCTGAGGGCCAACCTTAAGTCTGTGAAGAAGGAGGATACAGAGAAGGTGGGGCCTCTTCTCTCCTCATACCACCCCTTCAGCCACCCACTGTTATTTCCCCTTGAAGCTATAGGAGCGATTCTAGATCTCCTGCTAGACAGATGGACTGTCCAATTGGCTCAGACTAGAGTCTGGTCATTTATTTCTGTCTTTATAAAGGAGAAGGTATTTCAGTATGCTAGGTGTTTGGGGTGTAGGTGATCACCAAACCCCACTATCCTGAGGGGCCGTGTGACACTTGCTTGGTTAGGGCTGGGATTGAGAGGAAGTTGTTTTCGCATTTGAGCTCAGTGGTAAAGACATAGTCCCTGCCCAGAAGAAATTAGAATAAGATGTTAACTAGAAAACGTTGAAGTATGCCTGGATGAATGATTGGACCTAGAACAAAAGCAGTGGACTGAGACCTCACTCTGCCACTGGGACACTTAACATCTGAAATAGTGTCCTTGGGACTGAAACAAGGGCAGATGGCATAATGGGCTGTCTCAAAACAACCGTTGATAACATCCCCAACACATGCTGCTGCTTTCTTCTTGCTGTAGGTTCTAAACAGTGCCTCAGCATTTGAACCTCAGCATTTCTTCAATTTCCCTTACAATAGCCTTCCCAGCCTTGGAGATAAAGAGAAGGGAAACAGGAGTGGGAACTTTGTATTTTTTGAAGGAGCTGATTTTTCCCTCTAGCCAACTTTCCTTTATGGTTGATAGGCCTAGGCTGACTCCGTGGGCTGTCATTTCTCTTACTCTGGTCTATGTCTCTGCCTTATAGGAGCGGCCTGTGGAGGTGGGTGACTGGCGTAAGAACGTGGAGGCCATGTCTGGCATGGAGGGCCGGAAGAAGATGTTTGATGCAGCCAAGTCTCCAACCACCCAGTGAAAGGTACTGGCTACCCTGGTTGCCCTAACCTTACCTTCACTCCAGTTCTTTAGCACCTTCCTCTTCATCCTTCATCTCTCTTAGTCTGAAGTGGGACTAGGTCTGTGGCTTGGATGAAACTCATGAGAAATGTTAGGTTCAGAATAAGCTGGTAATGCTTAGGGCAACTTGGAAGATGTCTGGCATGGCAGAAAGAATTTTTGATTTGGAAGCAGAAGGCATGAGACTGGATGTTGGCGTCTAAGCTACGTGACCTCGGGAAGCACATCATTTCTCTTGTTGCTTTATCTGTAAAATGAAAGTCTTGGGCTATATGGTCTCTTAAGTTCCTTCCAATTCTAACAATGTCAACTCTATATTATAGTGGAGAAGGGGGTTGAGTCTCAAAGAGAAGTCTGGCTACCCAAGGTGGCCTAGGGCTTTCCATTCTGGTTGGGTCCAAGGAAAGAATATAATGGCATGGTTTCTGGGGACCAGAAATTCTGGTGATGGCACCAAACATCCTGAATATTTCACCCAATAGTAAGAAGATATGAGACCAGAGCTGGGTATGGCAGAAGATGGGCACACCTAATGATGTTGGGGGAGTGAAGGTTGAAGAGGAGGAGTAGACAAAGCTATAGATAAAGTGCAATGCCAGGGAATGGGGATTGGACTTATTCACAGGATGTGGGCCCATCATTTCACTTGTCTCAGTTTCCTCACCTATTGGTAGGCAGCTAGATGGCACAGTAGGAAGAGTGCTGGACCTGGAGTCACGAAGACCTGAGTTTAAATCCAGCCTCAGACACTTATTAGCTGTATGACCCTGGGCAAGTCATTTAACCTTGTTTGCTTTAATCCACTGAAAAAGGAAATGTCAAACACTGCAGTATCTTTGCGAAGAAAATTCCATGGAAGGTATTGTCCATGGGGTTACAGAGAGTCGGATGTGACTGAACAGCAACAATCCGCTATTAGAGAAGCATCAGGATATGAATGATCCGATCCAGTGAATCCAGAATTTGGCAATATCCTTTGCTTGTCTTAGACAAAGATTCATTTGTCCACAGATTCCTCTGTGCTACCGGCACCATTCCCAGCAAGTGGAATGATGTAGTCAGTACTCTCCAATGACTTAGAGGCCAACTGGGAAGATAAACTCCATGCCCAAGAAGCCCCTAAATGAATGTGTAAAACACTGCGTGAGTGAGTACAGGATTGAAACTATCATAGAGTCACCTACTTTGAGTTGGAAGGGACTCCAGAGTTATCTAGTCCAGCCTAAACCTGGACAACAAATCCCCTCTGCAATATCCCAACAGTCATGTGGTGCCTAAAGATGCCAGGTGATGGAGAGCCTGCTTCCTGAGGCAGCCCGCTGCCTTTTTGGACAGCTCCACACAGAAGTGAAGGGAGGGAACAAGCATTTATTAAGCTACTACTATGTGCCAGGCATTGTGCTAAGTGCTTTACAAGTATTATGTCATTTGATCGGGGGGGGGGGTTAGATGCTATTATTATCCCCATTTTATAGTCAAGGAAACTGAAGCAAACAGAGATTAAGTGACTTGCCCAGGATCACACAGCTACTAAGGCTGGATTTGAACTCAGGTCTTTCCAATTTTTGGCTACATCTGACTACCTGTAGGACTCAAGGTAGGTCTCTTCAGCTCAGTGGACCTCGATTTTTTCTTCTGTAAAATCAGGGGATGAGCTAGCTGATTTGCAGTCCCCTTCCAGAAATGAATTCTATGATTCAGTGAAGCTAATTATTAAAGTGATTTTCCTAGTAACTTCTGCTCTTTCTAGTTCTGCCTTCTGGGTCAAGGGGGAAAGATTTTATCTACCCATCCAACAGTCAGGCTATACACATTCTGTACATGAGGGAGTGCTGAAGGAACATGCAGTAAGGGAGGGACCATTTGGGTGGGATGAGCAAGGAACAGCTTCTTAGAGGAGAATTTAAAGCCAACTTGAAGGAAGGAAATTAGGGAGGGAAGAGAGAAGGGTTTTTCGGGAGACAACAAAAGCAGAGAGTCAGGAAGCGGCAAATTCTGTTTAAACATTTATTAAGTGCCTACTGTGTGCATTGTACTTTGCACATCAGACACTGAGATGAATAAGGCCTAGTTCCTGTTCTCAGAGAGCTGGGAATCCAATTGAGATAAGAGCAAGCATGATGGCTTGGTTGGAGCCCAAGGGCTGTACAGGGGGCAACGAATGATGGGATCAGAAAGGTAGGTGAAGTGGGTGGTCAGAAGCTGTGAATGAGATAATATATGGATAAGAAGTGATCTGCAAACTTTAAAGTACTCTGTGAATGTCTATTGTTATTGTTATTATTGCCATCAGCATTTTAAGGTATGTTACAGTAAGCGTAGGGAACATTGCACTTCATGTAGAACTCACAGGGTGGCAGAGATGCTGGAGTGGTTTGCCATTTCCTTCTCCTGGTCATTTTACAGATGAGGAAACTGAGGCAAACAGGGTTAAGTGACTTGTCCAGGGTCATACAGCTAGTAAGCTGGTTTTGAACTCATGAAGATGAGTCTCTATCCAGTGCTCAATCCAATGTGCCACCAAGCCCAGGGGCCACCCGTGGTCATCTTGATATCTGGCCACTGGACCCAGATGGCTCAGAAGAGAAAGTGAGGCTGGTAACCTTGCACAGCCCTCCCTCACTTAAAGCCAAGTCATTTGCAAATCATGGCATCATCTTGCTGACGTGATGGTCCTCTTCAAGAAGAAAGGACAAACAACAAGGTGGCAGATGTAAGAAATAACCTTTGAACAATTAGAATCACAGATTTAGAGATGGAAGGGTCTTATCTAGTCCAATCTCTTCATTTTTCCAGATGAGGAAACTGAGGCCCAAAGGCAGATAAATCACTTGCCCAAGGTCACACAGATAATAATCAAAGCGATTAAATAATCATGCAGAGCTGGGATTTGAACCCTAGACCCCTGACTCCAAATCCAGCATTCTTTTCAATGACACCTGCCTTTTTCCTCCCCCCTCCCCCAGTGAGTCACCTTGAGGGGTAATGAGTTCTTCATCATGGGAGGTCTTCAAATACAGGCTGAATGATGGCTTATTGGATGAGATGACCTCTGTGTTCCATTCCACTGTAGATTTTAGGATTCTATGAAAATTAGTTTGCCCTCCCCCGAGTATAAACCGCTGCCTGAGAAAGCCAACCTATGATTAAAAGTGTACTAGGGATAATTCACAGTGGGGAACTGACCACATTCTATTTCCTTGTCTTTCCAGGTTGCTTTCACAAGCTTTGTAGGATCTCCATCTCACCCTCTGTTCCCTTCACCTTCCGCAGCCCACTCCAACCCTGTCCAAGTCCCTCAGCCTATCTTCAGAGCTATCACCTGAGTCTGCGACAGGGGACCTCCACAGCCTAGTCATACATACCCCTATCACTCCCAACTCTTCAACACATCAGGCCTGGCCTCAGCCCTGCTCCAGAACTGGGAACTGAATTAACACCAAAGGGAGGAGAAAAATGGAAATATCCCAGGAACAAGGAAGTAAAAACCATTGGTTCAGACCACACCCACCTAAGTGGATCTCCTTGGCTCATTTTTAGGCACTGAGGCATCCTGAGTCATTTGTCCTTCACTCTCACCTGCCCTCAAGCCCCAGAGCACTCACCTTGCCTCAGAAGGGCTGATATGGATCCTATAACCCTTCCCACTGTCTTCTCCTGCCCTTCTTTTATGTATATGAGGTGTAGCCTGAGTGAGTTGTGTGCTGTCCATTAAATGTTACAGTTTCCTCGTCATTTTGGGGACTCCAATGGTTCATGTGTGTGTCGGTGGGGAGTAGTAATCTTTGAACTGAGGGCGGTGAGACATTTGGTGGGGCTGTGGCCCTAGGGCTGCCTTTCTCTGCCTTTCTCTGCCTTCCTCCCGGGAGTGGAGGGCCTGGTGGTTTATGGCCTGGAGGGGAATCTTCACTTTCCGGGAAGGAACTGAACAGTAACTAACTTCTGAGGTCATTCCCTCATCATCAACACTGTTATCACATTACATTTTCTAGGAATGCAGACTGGAAAGCTCTTTGGCTCTATGGAGAGCTTTTCAGTTAAAAGGTATTTATGATACATTGACTTGGGAACCTGGGATGGGAGAAGTCTTTTTGACATTCCTAACTCCTCAGCAACTTACACTGGGACAGTTTTCCTATAAGCTTCCTGCTGGACTGGATAAGGAACTGTGTGGGACCTTTCCTAAGGAAAGGATTGGAGCTAGGAGTCAAGGGTTCTAGTCTCATCTCTGCTTCTGGGTAATTATCTGGCCCCTGAAGCTTCAGTTTCCTCATCTGTGAAATGGGAACAATAACACCATAAATACCACATCTGGAGTACAGGGTTCAGATCTGGGGGCCACATTTTAGGAAGAACACTGATAAGCAGAGGATGACAATCATGGTGGTGAGGGGCTTTGAATGTGTGGATTGGTTGAAGGAGCTGGGAATATTTGACCTGAAGATGGCACGTGATAGCTGTCTTCAATTATTTGAGGGGCTGGATATCTTGTGGTTCTTCCACAAGATTAGACTTGTTCCACTTGACCAAAGCCCACAGGACTAGAAACAAAGGGTGGCAATTGCAGAGTCAATTTTGGATAAATGTTAGGGAAAATCACTTAGCATTTAGAAGTGTCCAGAAGCGGAATGGGAGGGATGGTTTCACCTTGACTAGAGGCCTTCACAAAAAGGTTGAAGGACTTTTCGTTGGGGATGTTGTTGAGGGCATGAAGGTTCAAGTGTGGGCTGCGGCCTCCCAGGTCTTTTGAACCCTGTGTTTGTATGATCATCTACCCCCTATCCCTCCCTCATTTTATAGATGAGAAAACTGAGTGCCATAGAGGTTGACTGACTTGTGTGTTTACAAATCAGTTCACCCGCTATAATCCTATGTGGTAAGATGACTATTATCAACCTCATTTTGTGGATAGGGAACAAAGAGTGGCGTGGTGAATTGCCTAAGGTTATAAAGTGACCAAATATCCAAGGGGCCATTGGAACCCAGGCCTTTGGACTTCTGCCCTGAAAACTGGTATTCTCTGTACTACTACATACTTAGCTCCTACTACCATACTTGGCTCCCTAGTGACATCACACAGAATATTCCCCTAAATTATCAAACTGTTAATGGTATTCCTGATCCCAGAAGCTCTGCCCAGTGACTAAATATGCTAAGACTATGAAGAGACGTGATATTGCAGAACTGGTGGTACATAGGCCTCCCTCCCATTCCCCCCCTGTCCCATTGATTGGTCAATTACCGTCCTTACCGAAGCACCACTCAATGGTTATTGTTTGGGCCTGGGTGGATCAAAGTGAATGTAAATAGAAATTGTTTCTCTTTTGGCCAGAAACCCATCCCAGTTCGATTTTTTTTTTTGATTGAAGGGGCCATCTCTTGGCTCACTTCTTAGACAGCCTTAATAATGGAATGGGCATTGCTTCAGTCGAAGTGAGAACTCAGAAAAACTTTCGCTTTAAAAGGTTGAAGTCTCCCACTGCATTCTGGGTGATCTCCAGTTGCTCCCCTTGGCCCAGGACCACAGAAACAGAAACGAGGGGTGGTAGCTGCAGAGAGGCGGACATTGGCTAAGTTGGCTACTTAACATTTAGAACTCTCCGTAAGTGGAGAGGGGGTAATGGTTTCCCCTTTACACCCCAATCAGGCTCCATTTCTGCCCTTCCCCTGCCTGGTGCCAACCTTCTGCCACTTCCCCTGTCCTTCCGGGGAAGGTAACTGGACCTGACTGCTTCCCACCTAATCTGAATCAAAGCACAGGTCAGCTTGGGCTTGACTGCTCATACAGGTATACCTCTCTTTATGGAATCAGTATGCTACGGAAGCACTAGCTGTAAATCGAATCTCTTTCCATTGAATTCCCTTGTAAATCATGATGGGTAGCAGGCGCTGGGAGAGATTTAATCTCTACCTGTGGAAAAATCTCTGAACAATGGAAGCTGTCCCAAAGTTTAATGAGCTACCTCAATAGGCTGTGGGCTCCTTATCAATGTACGTATTCAAGCAGTGGCTGGATGCCCACTTGTCATTGTATATTTTGAAGGGGATTCCTATTCAGGTATAAATTTACTAGATTGTCTATGAAGTCCTGGTCAACTCTGATTCTGTAAAACTGGTGTTTGGGACTCCTGTCTAGCCAAGGGGAGACATTGCAGTTCTCATTATTGCCACCAGGTGGCACCTGACATAAGCACAACAGTACAAGGTGTATTTCCCACTCTGAGTATTGGGCTTTTTTCTTTTTGAAACCACCTTTCCTCGATCTCCTAAGCTAGTGTTCTCATCTGCACCCCCTCCCTTGTCCTCACTCTTTCTCCTTCATCTTCTATTCCCTGTTCTAACCTCCTGAGATCCCAGGGCCTGATCATTTTCACCTGCTCCCTATTCTCACCAGACCTGAGAAGTTTGGAGGTTCCATGAACGGGCAAAGACCCTTCCACCACCCCCATGCCACCCAAGCACAACCCCTCTTCTCCCTGTAACCCAGGCTCACTAGTCAGCTGAGGCTTCTTCCCCATGTCAGAAAGAGAATCGGCAAGGAGACATGAAAGTGGACAAAAGTGGATGCCTGATTGAGAGGACCAAAGGTCACAGGCCCCAGATGAAGTCTGGCTAGGATGTGATGACGCTTCACATTGGCCCCAGCTGCAACTGCTTACTCCCTGATTTGTGACTGCTTTCTGAAGCTTCTTGGTCATTCCCAGGTTCCATAGACAGTGGTAGGTCTGAGGTAGGTATAGACCAGGGGTGGAGAACCTGCAACCTCTAGGCCACACGTGGCCCTCCTATGTGGCCTTTGACTGAATCCAAACTTCACAGAACAAATCCCTTTAATAAAAGCAATTGTTCTGCAAAACTTGGGCTCAATCAAAGGCCATACCAGAGGACCTAGAAGGCTACATGTGGCCTTGAGGCCATGGACTAAACCACCTGAACTGGCCTGACTTCTCACTCCCTCTCCTGAAACTAAAAATGTGCTGGCCCCAGCTCTGCCCTCTATTCTCCCTAGAGCATTATCAGTTATTAGTGCCAGGAGAGAATAAAGGTATAAAGGGCAGGGCCCAGGCTCTTCAGGATAGAACCTACCACCAAGACAGCTGAGTCTGTGAACTCAGGTGAAGGTTGCTGGCTGAACAGGACCAGGATCCCTGAGAGGGACAGTGGGGCATGTACCCCCAGGGCCTGGAGGACAATCTTTCCTCATTCAGTGGTAGAGGGATCAGCAGACCAAAGTCCCAGGATGCTTTCCACTATGACCTGGTCCCTGAGGATGGGCCTATTCTATCGTAGGAAAGTCATCTTACTGTCTTAAGACTGGTGAGATGACACAAGCAAGTCACTGGGCTGCCCACGGGATGTATCTGCATATGTGTGTGTCTACACCTACATGTATGTGTGTATATATGTATGTATGTGTGTGTATTGGCATTCTCTCTCCCTCTCTCTCTCTCTCTCTTCTCTTTCTCTTTCTCTCTCTCTCTCTTTCCCCTCTCTCTGTCTCTCTGTCTCTCTCTGTCTCTCTCTTCTCTTTCTCTTTCTCTTTCTCTCTCTCTTCTCTTTCTCTCTCTCTCTCTCTCTCTCTTCCCCCCTTTCTCTTTCTCTTTCTCTCTTCCCCCACCCCATCCTCTCTGCCTATCTCTCTGCATCATTCTCTGTTTTTGCCTCTCTCTCTCACACACACATAAATATACATAAATACACAGAGGAGGAAGCTGGAAAACCTGTTGAGCTTGGTAAACCCTACAGAGGATGGGGTTTGGGCCCTATGCCCAACTAGCCACAGAAACACACCCCTCCCCACTTAGACCCACCCTGCTGGCCCAGGCCCAGGGAATAGCCCTCTCCTACCCTACCTTTGCTTTTCCCATAGGTTCTGCCCTTTTTTATAGGGCCTAGCCCCAACAAAAAAAGCCAAATCTCAGCCTTGCCAGTCTAGCCCATTAATAGGGAGACCCTGGCAGATTGCAGCCTCCACTCTGCCATACAAAGGCTGTGAGGCCAACCCGTGGGTTGGAGTTAAGGCAAACACCTGGTAAACACAGGGCCCCAGGCCCTGGGCTGTGGGAGGCAGGGAGGGACTGAAGGAGAAGCCAACTCAAACAGACAGATGGAAACAGCTCTCTCAGCCTAACCCTCTGAGAATCTCAACCAGCAGGGCCCCACCGAAAGGTATTCCTGAGGTCATCTGCTCTCTCTTCCTGTCTCCCAGTGGGATTGTATCAAATCTGTCAGTTGAATGTAAGCTCCTTGAGGGCAGAAGATTGCTTTTCCTGTTTTGTCTCCGTATCCCTAGCATTTAACACAATGGCTAGTGATAGGTATTTGACAAATGTTTGTAAAATTGAACATGTTGTTGAATGTCCTGAGGAAGGAGATAGAAGATGATCAGATGGGGTTTAGATCCATCAACAGCAATCTGAGCTAGATAATCAATAAATCAATAGGTAATTATGAAGTGTTTATAGTGAACCAGGAACTCTGCTAGGCACTAGATCCAAAGGCAAAATTAAAATATCCCCTGCCTTCAAAGAACTTGCGTTCTATTGAAAGAGAGTTTATGAAGTTCTGGAAATGATGAGAGAGGAGGGGGAAAGGATAGAATTGCTATCTAAGAGTTCCTTAGGGGTAGGATTGATATGTATAGGATTATTTGTATGGAACCTGGAGTGGAGACAGGGGGCTGGACTGGATGATCTCTGAGTGCATATTTGTTCTCTTTTATATGTTTCTCACTA